TGAATACCAAGCATGCTGCTGTTTGAATTGATTCCCATCTCTCCTCACCGGATCCCCTCCCATGAATACGACTCAGTGCTCAGCTTAGCGTGTCTGAGTTTCTGTTTGCTGAGTGTGTACTTGGCTTCTTTGCATCCCGCTGTTCCCTTTCTCCATAACGCCTGTTATATATCTAGCTTAATGGGCAAAATGGGACTTGTTCGCTGCGTTTGGAGTATGAGTAGTCGTGTAATGTTCTAGAATAAGTGGCGATCTTTGATCTGGTCATCTGTCATGGTGTGATTTTCCGTCATGCGGATTTTATATGCAGGTAGACATGTGCAGATTACCTGCGAATAGTACAAGTACCCCGCATTCGAGAAGTCTATATATATCCTCCACTTGATACTGGGCCGCGAGGACCGCCAAATCGTCATGTCGAGTTGATGTATATGATATCCCTTATTACCATTAACAGGCAGAACTTTAAAGGCATGAATGTATTTTTTGAATAAACGTACAAATATTCGAGCTGGCTAATGTGCTACCCACAGACCATAGTTAACCCAGCTAACCAGCCTACAGGAATAACAAAGTCATTGAATAAATTGAACATGGTACTACTTACATGTAGTCAGGTAGAGGTAAGTACAAGACCAGAACCCCAAAGATATCAACTCGAATCACGCCCATCCCCAATGCAAAAAAGGTATCTCATAGACCCAGGAACCAACCCTAACATGCACCGAAAATATTCAGAGAAAGAGAAAGAAAAAGAGAGAGGGAGAGAGAGAGTGCTCAATTCAAATGAGAATGTACATAATGTATGTATGTAGTTTCCCAAATACACAAGATGAACAAAAATACAACGTCCCATCCATGGATATACGTAGTAAGTACATCCATGAATGAGACGAAGAAAAAGAAGCAAGACTTATTTGCAAGATCTCTGCACAGACCAAACATCCAGCCCACGGCGGCCAACGACCCGTTTCAGAGTCGGCAGGATCCCGTCGTCGCCGAAGTCCATGTCGTCGAGGTTAAGGTGGTTGCGATAAGACCACAGTTGATGGAGTTGCAAGGTTTGGTTTTGGTTTTGGTTTTGATCTTGGTCTTGGTCTTGGTTCTGGTCTTGGCTCTGAGGTGCAGAGAAGGCGTATTGATCGAGGAAAGTAGCCGATGTAGGCGCGACCAGGAACACAGGCGACGGAGTAGAGCAGCCGGGTACAACCAGCTCCAGCTGCTGGATCATATCCACACCCGACATGCCCATGAGATCCAGCGTTTGGATTTCTGTGGACTGGTCGTCTCCGCCGAGAAGCCACAGCGGTGGGGAGTATGTCTTCCACCAGAACACCGTTGCGGATGGTATGTACTGTGTTGGACTAGATGAGACGATGTCGCGCATTGCTAGCTGCGTGGGAACGACGCCGCCTTGGTGGTAGACGCCCATGAGGAAGCCCATGGCTGCGTTGAAGATGATCCATACAACGACGAGGAGGCGGGAGCCGCGCATGGGGAAGCAGCTGAGGAGGAGGGGCACGGCTGGGAGGAGGAAGCGTGGTTCTTGGTGCGGGAAGAGGGAGAGAAGCATCGTTGCAGAAAGCGCGGAGAGGGCGCGCACGTTGCGCATCCAGTATGGCACTAGTGGCCGGCTGAAAAGGGAGACTATCATTGCAATGTAGGCTGGGCCAAGGAGTTGGAGGAGGTTTGCAGTGAAGTGTTGGTAGTGGGGGTGGAGGCCGTGCTGGGCTAGGTTGGCAGTGTCGGTGTTGTAGAGGAGGTTGTTGAGGGGAGTTATTATGGGGTGGCGGAAAATGCTCAGGAAGGAGGCAGTCGGCCGGTAGAAGATCGTGTCCGTGTAGATAGCGATGAAGGAAAAGAAGAGACCGAAGAGGAGGAATGCTGCGAGCCCGAGTGGTCTGGCGCGAAGGCGGGGTTAGCACATGTGTATTGATTGATGAGCTGGAGGTGAAATGTATGTATATTGACGCACTTGCGCTGGAACTGAGGCAGCAATTGCAGACCTGGGAAGAGAAGGAAAGCCGGGAAGGTGATGCGGTTGAAGACGCCCACTACGGCGATGAAGGCAAGCACGGCATGGGAGAAGAAGGACGAGTGTCGCTGGACTAAAGTTAGCATGAAGTATGCGCTTTGGAGCTTTATCTCTCCCACCTTATTGTTGACAATGCGCCGAATCAAAACCAGCCCCCAGGCAACCAACAGGGTCTCGAGGCTGTTGGAAAATGTGTGCGTCTGATACGTCCAGGTGACATATGACGAGGCCACCAGCACCACTGTCGCGCGCCGATGACGCGGAGAAGGCACTAGCTCATAGATCGCCCAGTCCTCGAGGACAAAACTTAACAGGAACATTCCACCGCGCAGCGCATTGTAAATCATGTGGGGTGGGGGGCTGCCCTCGCCGGTCTCGGTATAGAACCATTTCAAGAGGTTCATTGGAAGCTCGTAGGCCGCCCATATTGGGAATATGCTGCGGATGGGGTGTTCAACGGTAAATTCCCATGGTATCTTCGAAGGAAATGAGAATATGCGACCTGTATTCAGGCGATCTGGTCAATGTTTGTTCTTCGTATAGGAGGGTCGCGGAATTGCCGGATCGCGCTGTTTTGCTTTCTGCTTTAGGGAAAATCGCAACAAATAGTTCTGCGCGTCCGCATAGTCGCAGTATGATCGCGATTGGTGGGGCGATCATTGGATAGGTGAACATACCTGCGAAAAGCTCTGGGCCTTGGAAATTCTCATCAGGATGTAGATAGCTTGGAGACAGCGCAAAGTACACCCGAATCACCAACAACAGTAAATATGTTCGACGCCACATGGTTGGAGAAATCTAGGAACATTATTAGACGAAATTAAAGAATGAAAGTAAAGAATGAAGTGAAGGGAGAAAGGAGGGTGGGCTAACACTAACAGAAAAGAACTAGACGCGTATCATTGGATGATATCACTGTCGCGTTAAGCGGTAAATTGGAGCGGAGATTGTGAGAGGCACTTATAGATCTATGACTGTGATATTTACATTGAGATATATCTGTCTTGATCTGCTCTGATCATTGAAGCCTAGAGAATCTTTTTTGAAAGTGACGTAATGTTTCTCACCAAAATTATGCACAACTTAGGCCCCAAGGTTGTTCTGGCACTCCGCCATGAGAAGTACGAGCCGCCAGACTCCAGACTAGTCTGCCGCACTCGGGTTCGGAAGTCCCCTGCGATAGTACTGCTCGGGCCACAACAGTCATAGATGAAGTGGACTGTTTCCTCGTATTCTTATTCTCGTATTCCTAAGCCGAATGCCCTAACAGCGGTTCCGTCTCCCTTCCTCGTTATAGCGGCTTGGCTCGAAGCTTCAAATCCCCTAGACCACATTCGATCGAATATTTATTCGGCTTAGTCTTGGCATGCATCTGCCAGCACCGCAGAGTGGTGTTGAATTCCTGAGGAGCGAGTCGGCTTCGTATACTAGGGCATATGCGACCGGCTTGCGTGGACGAACAGGCGTAGATGATCTAGTCTGATCTAGTCTACGGTCGCCGGAATATTGGGATCGCATCTTGACTCTTGCCGGTTGCCTAGAGAAAGTAGGAATGTCTGAACCGACGTCCATCTCGGGTGGATTGCGTGCCGGGCCGGTATTAAAAGTGGACGTTCTTGCACCTCATATGTCATGGTAACATCTTTGTTGAAGAGGTATCATTGCAGGCCATTGTTGAAGCGGCTATTGTCATCGGGGAACCACTTTTCGCAGACGTTCTCCTCTTTATGCATTTTGCGGGATATTCTCTTCTCGCAAACGTCCTCTTTGCGGAAGTTTTCAAAGGACGTAGGCGAGTAATAGAGAAGCTCTGCCATAACATACACCATCGCTTTTATATTTCATTCATAAACCGATTTGTGAGCCTAATGAGGCATACTCCTAGCCCCTCTATATAGTCACTGTTCTACTATGATGGTTAGTTTTTCTCACATGTTACTTATGCTGTGACATCATACAAGTACTTATTGTACCTCTGTCGCGCTTGGGCCATTCCCAATTGTGCTTCACTGCAGCGACCAGCCCTTCAGTTTGCCCGCCTGATCAGAAGATATCGTAAAACGGTCCTACTTGGAAGGAATCAAAGTAGACATATGGTAAGGCGACTTCCTAGGAAACACATGTTTGAAGCATGGGTCTGAAGTGTTCCCATGGATAGACGGATTTTGCCCGTAACTGCTTTAGGTTGACTGGAAGAGGTTGTAATTTGTTCGTGTATGGATAATTAGAACGGAGTAGGATCATATCCGGCTGGTCAAATCTTCAATAGGGTCCGGATCAGCATGGTTGTCTTTGAGGGTAGCCTCAATGTCGATATCTAGATCCTTCGAGAATATAGATCCATGTCTATTTGGCTTAGCAGCTTGGACAATCTACTCCGGACAAAGAATATAATTCAGAAATACATACACCTTTTACCAAAATACAAATCCCAGCCGCCGAGATTCTTATTTTAGCCCGTAAATACGGACAGCCGCCGTTGGTTCTGACTTAGTACGGAGTCAAGCCAGCGCTTCCAAGGTTGCATTCCCAACTGTTGGCTCAAGTAACAGGCTACTAGTCTGTTTTTGACCAGTCCTCGTTTCTTTAAATTAAAAGATTGAGTCAAAGCAAAGAATTGGTCTGATTTAGGCAACGGTCCGAAACTAAGCCGTGGGGGCTGGCTTTGTAGCCTTGTGAGCCTTGTTGGCTTTATGGATACCGACCGCCTTTGGTAACTTAGAACTCCCTAAACCTCATCACCCGCCATCTACTCGTTACATCCTCGTCATTTTCAACCTGCAACTTCTCTCTTCAGACATACCAACTTCGAAAACTGGATCTTTTCTTTCAATAAGCCTACACCCTTTCACGCTTTTTCTACGCTTGGTCAGTAACTTCGCCACCACCGAACGCCCCGCACTACTCGAAAACGACCAGCAAAACTAACTTTAGGACATTAGATTCCATCTCCAACATCATAACCATGAGTGCTATCACCCTCACCAGCTCCGATGGAGTCGATCTTTCCGTTGGTAGGCATAATTTCCACAGCAGTCGCGAGTGGAGCTGACAGATTCCGAACAGAGCGCACCACTGCTGAGCGCTCCGTGCTGATCAAGAACATGCTTGAGGATCTCGGCGACTCTGGAGAAGCCATCCCCATTCCCAACGTGAGTGTCTACTCCCGAACATAGCCACCATCCAAGATCAGCCGCTTACACCTCTTTGTCCAGGTTAACGAGGCCGTCCTCAAGAAGGTCATCGAGTGGTGCGAGCACCACAAGAACGACCCTCCTAGTGCTAGCGACGATGACGACAACCGTCGCAAGACCACCGACATCGACGAGTGGGACCAGAAGTTCATGCAGGTGGACCAGGAGATGCTCTTCGAGATCATCCTTGTACGTTCCGTTTGCAGACTTGCTCTTCGGTAAATTTACTGACTGCTCATAGGCCGCCAACTACTTGGATATCAAGGCCCTCCTTGACGTTGGCTGCAAAACAGTCGCCAACATGATCAAGGGCAAGTCCCCAGAGGAGATCCGCAAGACCTTTAACATCCAGAACGACTTTACTCCTGAGGAGGAGGACCAGATCCGCCGCGAGAACGAATGGGCTGAGGAGTAAGTTGCTACCACAGTATCCTTTGATTGAACCTATACTGACATCCTGCTCTAGTCGTTAAATGATGATTATGTGTCTGTTCTCTCTTTTTAAAACAGAAAATGATATCCTCCCGGCTGTTTACGACAATGTGCAGCGTAGCCCTTGATGTCAAAGTAGGGTGATTATTTTTCGGGGCGTTCTTTTTGGCTAATTTTCTTCCCACGGTAGTTTGATATGAGTTGCAAACAATCGCTAGCTAGGCCTTGCCAATGGCATTTGTTACAGAGTCATCCTTAAACAGTAGCATTAGATAGCGGGGCCATGAAGTCGATCCTTGCTTATATTTGTCCAATGACGACAACAGGTTGTAAAATAAGCATATAAACGCAGATCAAGGCTGTACTACAAAGCGTGATACAACAGTAACACACCAACCAGGAACAGACAGCATGGAAATGTCCCATGCAATGCCCCATCGAGATCTACGGCCATCAAGCATACCAAAATAGGCAAAAGGACATTCAATTCGATCCAATCAGATTTTGTATCAAAAAAGAAAATCCCCCGCCACGCCAGTCCTACAAGCCCGCCCCCAATAAAGAAGACGATCAGCCCCCAACAGCAACAAACCCTTTTGCAAACATAAACCCGGGCCTGCCATCCATATCGACAAATTAGGCGTGTTGGAAATCCATCATATCCCCACTCGGAACCGTGGAGAAAAAGCATGACGACCCATTGGAAGATTAAGAAAAAAAATAAAAAGATAGGCACGACCCAAAGCAAGACCCGGATCAAGATTTGATAATTGAAATTTTTTGTTTGCAATTGCACTCAAGAGTAGTTCCACGATCCACTAGCGCTCTCAAGTTCATGATCAAGGCATGTTGTTCGAAATTCGGTTGTGGGCGTCACATCATGAAAAGGGTTTCGGAAAAATTAATCATCAGAAACCCTTGAACCACCCCAACACAGACACACTTCGGTTGCCAGATGACATCGCGAGCTGAACTGGGACTTTTGGGAATGGCCGGACGGAGGGTGCGAATACTGAGGGTCCGCTTAGACCTTCAGGGTCGACTTACGCCAGTGTCGACGCTTGGCGTTGTATCTATTGTAGCATTGTATCAGCCATGTGTTCGATTCGGTATTTCTGTATTTATTTCCCCCTCCATTTCTGGGTTCGTGCGGTCGGCGCGTGCGTGGTTATCTGTATTTCCCTCTCGCGTGCACCGTGCCGGTATCACTCTTCCCACAAATGGCGGTCGCGGATATATAAAAATGGATTTGGATCTCGAGACGAAGGGTGCGATTTACCTGATGGTGTTGCCGGTGCGCAGACGGATCCACTGGGGGATGGGGCGGTTCTGACGCTGAGCTTTGGCAAGCTTTTGCTTGGTGCGGAAGGTCTTGTTGCTCTGTGTGGAAAATTGACGTTAAAATTTTGTTTCTCAGTGTTTCAGAGTTCTGACTGGGGAGAAAGACGGCGACGATGGCGCGTGTATTTTTCGAGAATGGCGGGAACAGGGTGGTAACATACCGGCATCTTGAAGGTTGATCGCGACGGCGAGCTTGTTGGATGGACGGATGAAGTTATCGACCTTCGAGTGTGGATGGTTTGTGTGCGGCAGGGCTTGGCTTCGCTTCGGTTGGGTCAGGTGATGTGGGATTTGTGCCTGAGGCGGTGAGGCCCTAAGGCTTCAAGGCAGAACACATTAAATTCTACTGGCACAGTGGTCTAATCCCGTTTAGGCCGAGTACCTCTTGGCACTCCATTTTTGAATACAACATAATTACTATACAATTAGATGATGTTACATAGTTACCTAAGGTGTGGTATTCATGTCCGAGAACAAAAGAGCCCGTTATGATGGTATGGTTAGACAATAAGGACGGATGAAATACGGCAACCTCCAGTTTCATTCCTTGCAAATAAGCCCTTTAGAAGATTATCAGTCAGGGGCCTCATTCTCGTGCGTCTAGAACGGTTGCTAAAATGCAGCCACTATTCAATCCATTCAATCCAATCTCCGATGTATGTGATACATACTTGCCTAAATACTCTATACTGACAGTCTCACCAACAGCCCCGAAGCTATGATCTGGAGGGAGACTTCCCGCTAGACGGAACGGACCTGGTCACAGACGAGACTCTAGTGACTCTTCTTAGTTCTGCTCCTGTGATGCATAAATTTGGCTCCACAAAACTTGTTCGACTATCACGGCATTTGGTGTTGAAAGGCGGCGGAAGTGTCCTACCATGCGAAGCAGAGACGCTCAAATTCGTTGCGACCAAAACCGGCATTCGAGTCCCACGAGTCCATCGTTCATTTCAAGTCGAGGATCAGACTCAGTATTTTGGCACGAAGGGATATATCGTGATGGATTTTATCGCAGGCCAATCTCTCGACAAGTGTTGGACCGACCTACCCGACGATAACCAAAGACAAATCGCTATACAGGTTGCGGACATGATCAAAGAGATGCAGTCTATTGAAATCTCGCAGCCAGCCCCCTTCGGTGGCGGGAAATTTCGCGGCCGGTTCTTCACGGATTATAGCGCCGGTCCGTTAAGGACTGTGCTGAACTCCAAGGCTGGTTTAACCACAAGCTTGAGATCTGTAAGCACTACAACAAATGCCCTAAAGATATCCCGCCATTCTAATTCAGCACCTTTGTCCTTATCCACCAGGATATAAGTCCTCGAAACCTGGTCCTAGACCGGAATGGAGAATGGTTGATTGACTGGTCGAATGCCGGTGCATATCCCCCTGCATTTGAAAGCGCTGCTTTGATGGCTCAGCAGTTTTTCCCCAGCTTCAATGAAGCAGTTTTGGCTGTTATTCCACGATTTCCTGAGGAAGAACTGCAACTTGATTCTATTACATATGGGCTGATTACTGCGGCATTGGCCTAATGAGGTCTTACATGATACATGAATCTGTGTCTTTGTGCTATGATTTTGGTATTGTTCTAGTTCTTTAATCTTGCTGGTGCTTGGACATGCTTATCCACGGCTTACGCGGTTCTTAACTTGCTTATACCGTAGTACAAATAGGACATTGCAGGACGCAGCAGGATGCAGCAGGATACAAGGTGGCATAGTACCTCGAGTGATTATAACGATTCCTTTGACTACATAAGATAAAGCCCTAAAAAAGACAACTCATAGAGTTTAATGGTATAGGACCTTCCATGGTTCACTCCATTACCACTGTCTCCCTCCTGTTCCATTATCACTCTCCCCCTCCAAATTAACGCCACGTAGTGGTCCAAACACTTTCCCTATACCTTTCCTATTATCTCGTTCTTCGAAATGAGCTCGGATGTCCCTACCACTGCCCCTCCTTCTGCTCCTGCCTCTACTCTCGTCATTGTACCTGAATTAGATCTAGCATCGCTTGCATTGGATTTGAAAAAATCCTATGAGGGCCAAATTCCACTGCCAAAATTACCAAAACCAAAACGGCAGATGAGATGGAAACAGCCGGCAACGGATCCAATTGACAACCTCATGGATACACCAAAAGGTTGGAATTCCAACGAACCCGATCTTGATCCTAAGTACGTCTTTCTCGTTATATCCATATATATCCATACTAATATATACTATATAGTGATCTAGATGCTCAGATTGCAAGGTGCCGTGAGCGGATCGAGGACAATATCATGAGCCAGGTATTTCAATGGAAGCTGGAGGACTTGTTACGAGAGCAGAAACGTCGCAAGTGAGTATCCCCCGAAAGCCTTTTTCTTAACAGGGTTTAACTAAATTATCAGTGCGATGATGGCCTTAGAGCCGGCTGGGTTGAGTTGGCCTGTTGTCCAGCGCTTGGACACCCTTAAGGGGATCCACGAACACATTCTCAGCGAGAATGACCAGTACGAGGTGGTTGGTAATGTGACGAATATAATGGCGGCATATCGATCGGGCCAATTGAGATGGAATCCAGGCCTTGTTACCTACTGGTCTAAGGGCTTTCAACTCTGCCAGCCGAGGCCTTTCAGATGGGATGAATTTAATCTCATTAATGCCGAACATCAGGGTCACAAAGGCTTTTGGGTCGAAGGGGTACGTCTTTTCAAATACCAAACTTATCGGAAACTAACATACATAGCTTCAAGGGCCAGGGCCAACCCACCAATGATTCAAGTTTAAGCTGAGCCACTTCCTACAACTGGCCTGTTCAGACAGGTGCCAACAACGATATGCAAATAATCGACGAGGAATCGGATAGAGCAATCATCATCGATTTTGGATCTTGCCGGAAGCTAGGAGAGAGTCTAGAAAACGTCGGCCGTACCTACGAATGGTACAATGGCGAAGTGTAGAAGTCTCTTCCCGAGAATGACTTGAACACCTTGGAAGAAATTCACATTTGGCTTGGCGTTAGTTCTAAAGGGGTTCAATTTGAATAGTAGGACTGGGCACGAATTCGTATTCTGCTCTAGTGATAAAATCAACCGCCGAAGCGATATACTACAAATACACGTCCATCTAGAGTCTAGCACTCTTTACCGAACTAAGAGCCCTACGTGTTCCTGGGGGTATAAAAGGGCTCCTCCCCCCTTTCTCTTCTTTTCTTCTTGTCTTCTCTCCATCCCTCCGACCACCATCTTTATGCAGCCGGTGGGTCCTGTTCTTCAAAAATAGAGCAAGAAAAGGAAACAAAAATGCCAAGGTACGCGTTTGAAAGGCATGCTGAACCTTGGAACCACTCATCAAGCACACGTGATGTTGTATGACAAAGATTTAATCGTTCAAGGCAGCCATCTCTAACCCAAAGAGTGCATTTCAACCTGAACATTGAAAACAAGAGAAGAAAAACCTTGGAAGAAAGGAAGGAACAAGGGTGCAGGGTTTCATGTGTGCTTTCCCTGCAAATCTTGCAACCCCTTGATCGCCCGATTTGCTCTTCTACAGGAAGGGAAGGAACGACTAAACAGGAAGGATCTTTCAGGTCAACAATCATGTCGAATTTCCGCCCGGTTCACTTTGTACCTGCAAACCGTCAAGCTGAGATGCTTGCTCTGCCAGTACTGAAGATCTTTGCCGTGCCTCATCAACAGCAAGCCGGTACAAACCACTGGTGCTTCTATCTTATGACATCCTCAGACACATCCATTCAGATTGATTGTCAACCAAGCTACACTGAGCCTAGTTCCGTCCTTCGGGGAGGTTCCAAAGCCAACCTGGTGGTTTCAGAATTATCATGTCTTGTTCCCAACGATGCTCAAGAGCGCTTCGAGCTTGATATCACACCAGGGCTCTTAGTTGGGCACGTTTATGACCTAATTATCCAACATGCACGCCACAAGTACGAATTCGACATGGATGGCGTCGGGTGTAGGTGCTGGACCACCGGCCAGCTTGATCTTTTTCACCAAGCTCAAATCATCACCAATGAATCCGAAGTTGCGGCGACAAAGGCTGCGATCTTGAAGTTATGGCCTGAGCAGACGCCGCTCCCACTTGACCAAGGAGCCTATTACCCATGATTCAATATTTGTGCTCGGATTCATATGCTATTCACGGAAGTGCGTATTCCATGACTTATCCCGATTTCGGTACTACTTTTCTTGCGACAAATGATCGGAAATAGCCAAGAAGAAGCGGAAAGGTACGGAATACTGAGACTGCTATAGATGGAAGAGAAAGAAATCTAAGCGAATGTGTTCTCAGTCCTGGAAATAGTGCGCTCAAAATTTGGTGGCCGCCCAAGCACCTTGCTTCAGTACTCCGTAAGCAGGTTGAAACCAGCCTTAACAGCCATATTTACCTCGTATAATCGTCGACGCCTATCGTATAGTAGGGTCATTTTAGGTAGAAGCCTTGGGGTTGTGCCTGTTTAGCGCAAAGTAGCTTTGGGGCTGTGGGTGAGACTGTCATTATAGAGTGAATAAAATAGTGAAATAGGAAACATCCGAATGAGGAAGGACTCAGACATGAATGAGCCAATCAACATGTTTCTCGCTTGACGGACGAATCGTTTTGGGCACCTTGTCACATCCCTGGAGATTTGTTGAGATCACAACTGAGGTGCATAGTGTCTGTGCGATGGGCGCGTTCAAAATGCTTCTCATTCTCATTAACTCAAGTGCTTCCACTTATTACCACCACACTTGAAGAGTCGATAATACAATGTCATCAGTTCCTATTCGGAACTCTGTTACGCAAATTTCTGATTCCAGTTGGCGCCTTGGCTGCACAATCGAGTGCAATCGAACTGCGGGACCAGATGACACATGCGCAGCAGCCTGGAAAGACGGAGAAGATTGGTATATTCTTCGGCATACAACATCTGAGCAACTACCCGATGCTACGTCTGCAAGTTCACCGGTCCGTTTGATCCACGAAGGGGGTACTCTATCTGCAGTATGGGCTATTGGAAATAATGCCATCTGCAAAGTCCACCCCTGGGACCCCGATACCACTTCGGAGAGCGAAACTATCAAATTCGTTCAAGAAAAGGCACCCCAAGTACCTGTACCTGAAGTGAATTTACTCCTGGGTGGATGGAAATCGATCATTCTTGGTGCTGAAAAGAGTTCCGGGTGTCACTCTGAGAGACGCGTGGGAAACTATGTCCACTACCGAACAAGATTCTATCTTGGATGAGGTTGTTCACATGTGCGATATACTCGCTTCTATTACTTCGGACCGGCTCGAGGATGTACATGGAGGTCCAGTGTCCGAGCCTTACCTGGCTCACTCGAAACAGGATTCATTGGAGCCGTTGAGTGTGTCTGAGTGTAAGACTTATTTCTTCCGAGAGGATCTTCATCCAAATCCGGAGATTGAAGAGCGATTCCATCTCTATCACCCCGATCTTGGGCCAGGAAATATAATTGTTTCCAATCAGAAGCTATCGGCGATCATCGACTGGGAGAGCGCTGGATTTTACCCACGTTTCTGGATATCAACCAAACCTTCTGTTTCCCGGGGAATGAACTTTCATCCGCCAATTCCAGGTATTGAGGAAACTGAATGGAGAAAGCGACTCAGAGTGAAACTCGAAGAACACGGTTACCCTCGATTTGCAGATTGGTTCATGGAATGGATGAGGACAAAATCTAGATAGGATAGTGAATTAAGCACTTTTTGGTTAATCCGGGGATAGATCTATATCTTCACCCTCTTTATCCTTGATAGAAACCATGACCTCTCATGAGATAGCACTGGGAAAGGCGCAAGGTGTTTATCTCGGTCAAACCTCACTTGGGCAAGGAGACATAGGCAACAATCAATGGCCTTGTCCGGAGTAGGTAAAAGGAGTAAAGTTGCAGTCAAAGCGTCGGGCATCGGACATGGAAATTAGCCGACGCATAAAAAAAAGTGGAAAAGGTCCAGATCGGGCTCGTTGCGGATCAAAATTCGGTCGAAATACCCCGTATAATCCCAGTTTATGACTCAGGTGTTCGTATTCGTTTTCGCGTATTGCGTTTGCGTCATGGTGATGTGTTTCGTGTCAAAGTCAAGGCATAGTACGGACTCCGGAGTATGTGTGTACTATGCAACTCATGCATGCGCCAATCATACAGGACCCGCGTCAAGCATGGAGTAAAGTAGCAATAGCTCGTGGCCGTCAAGTTGTGTTCCCCGGAAAAGGGCGCGTTCAAGGGATGCCCTTGCACGAGGAATGTGAAGAAAGGAATGACCCGCCTGACCTGTAACTACTCCGTAACTAGTTAGTTACTTCGAACCCGATTAGCAATAGAGTCCCGGAGATAAAGCCAGGGTCTGCCAGGTCTAGGGAGCACTTGAGGTTCGTTGCATAAAAGACACGTCGGAGTTCGGACTACCCGACCCGAAGAGAAAAAAAGCCCAAGCCCCCCTCATAAGTATAATCTCAGAACAAACGCATTTAGAACCTCCCATCCCTTCCTTCACCCCTGTTGTGAATCTTTACTCTTAATACAATTACTCCTACCTTCTACATCCCTTAATATCTGTCCCTTTGTACCTAGCTCCTTGATTCATCGCAGAACCTCACCTCTTCAGACCATCCTCAACCAGTTCTTCATGGAGTAGAGATCCAAAATCGAAAGTTTCAACATGCAGCAGCCCGAGGAGGGCGTGACGGCCGTTGAGAAGATGGGGGACTCTCAGCTTAACGAGAAGCCCATCGATAAGCGCGATTCGGATTCCGCTTCCGCATCAACAAAGGAGCACGAAAGCACGACCCCAGTCGCGACAGACGAAGATGCGATCTATGCTCACTTGCCCGAGCATGAGAAGGAGATATTGAAACGACAGCTAGATGCGCCGCTCGTCAATATATCCTACTTCGGTCTTTATCGCTATGCATCCCGCATCGACATACTCATCATTGTTATCAGCACACTCTGTGCTATCGCCGCCGGTGCTGCCTTGCCTCTCTTCACCATTCTCTTTGGCTCCTTGGCTACGGCTTTCCAAAAGATTATGCTCCGCACCATTGGCTATGATGAATTCTACCACCAGTTGACCCACAATGTCTTGTACTTCGTCTACCTAGGCATCGGAGAGTTCGTCACCGTCTACGTCAGCACTATTGGCTTCATCTACACCGGAGAGCATGTCACCCAGAAGATTCGAGAGCACTACCTCGAAGCCATTCTGCGCCAGAACATCGCCTACTTCGACAAGCTTGGTGCGGGTGAAGTGACTACCCGTATCACAGCCGACACCAACCTCATTCAGGATGGTGTCTCCGAAAAGGTGGGCTTAACCCTAACTGCCGTCGCCACCTTCGTGACTGCCTTCGTGGTTGCATATATCAAGTATGCCCCCTTGGCTGGTATTTGTACTTCAACTATGGTCGCGCTGGTCGTGATTATGGGTGGAGGCTCCAGACTGATCATCAAGTACGGCAAGCTTTCCTTGGAAAGCGCCGGTGCCGGTGGAACTGTGGCAGAGGAAGTCATCAGCTCGATCCGCAATGCGACCGCATTCGGCACTCAGGACAAGCTCGCGAAGCAGTACGAGTCCCACTTGCGTCACGCAGAGCGCTGGGGCATGCGTCTGCAAATGAGTCTCGCCGTGATGGTCGGTATTATGTTTGGACTCATGTTCATGAACTACGGCCTCGGATTCTGGATGGGATCTCGATTCCTGGTGGATGGTAAGGTTGACGTCGGACATGTCTTGACTATCTTGATGGCTATTCTTATCGGGTCTTTCTCCCTGGGCAATGTCAGCCCGAACGCCTCGGCATTTACCAACGCTGTGGCAGCTGCTACCAAGATCTTTGCGACTATCGACCGTGTATCCCCGCTAGATCCTACTTCTGATGAAGGCATCATCCTTGACCACGTCGAGGGTCACATCGAATTCCGCAATGTGAAACACATCTATCCTTCTCGCCCCGAAGTTACAGTGATGAATGACGTTTCACTCGCTATTCCTGCTGGTAAAACTACCGCGTTGGTCGGTCCTTCGGGCTCTGGCAAGAGTACTGTCGTCGGTCTTGTCGAGCGGTTCTATCTTCCAGTCGGCGGCCAAGTGTTCTTGGATGGCCATGACATCCAAACTCTCAACCTGCGCTGGCTGCGTCAGCAGATCTCGCTGGTCAGCCAGGAACCTGTTCTCTTTGGTACAACCATCTATCAAAACATTCGCCACGGTCTGATCGGAACACGCTTCGAGCATGAGTCTGAGGAGAAAATCAAGGAGCTCGTTGAGAATGCCGCTAAGATGGCCAACGCACACGACTTCATTATTTCTCTTCCGGAAGGTTATGAAACTAACGTCGGCCAGCGTGGATTCTTGCTGTCTGGAGGCCAGAAGCAACGCATTGCCATCGCTCGTGCTATGGTCAGTGACCCCAAGATTTTGCTTCTAGATGAAGCTACTTCAGCACTGGATACCAAGTCCGAGGGTGTCGTCCAGGCAGCGCTTGATCGCGCTGCTGAGGGTCGCACTACCATTGTCATTGCCCATCGTCTGTCCACTATCAAGTCTGCGCACAACATCGTTGTCTTCGTCAACGGCTCGATTGTTGAGCAAGGTTCCCACGCCCAGCTGACTGACCATGATGGTCCTTACTTCAAGCTGGTCGAGGCCCAGCGCATCAACGAGGAGAAGGATGCAGATGCTTTGGACGCGGATGAGGATGAGGATGAGAGTGAGGATGGCAAGCACATGGCCAAGTCTCACATCGCACGCGTCAAGTCAGTTGCTAGTGGCTCAACCATTAGGAAGGATGAGGCCGAAACATTCCAGGAGACAATGCATCGCCAGGAGTCTCGCAAGTCCGTGTCCAGTGTTATTCTCTCGCAGAGGACTGCTGAAGGCGCCAGCAAATATTCACTTTTGACTCTGATCAAGTTTATCGGCTCGTTCAACAAGGAAGAGCGGTGGTTCATGGCCATCGGTCTTTTCTTCTCTATTCTCGCCGGTTGTGGACAACCCACCCAAGCTTTCTTGTATGCTAAAGCCATCAGCTCACTTTCCTTACCCGAAAGCCAGTATGCCAAGCTCAGATCGGATGCCAACTTCTGGTCACTGATGTTCTTTATTGTCGGTATTGTTCAAATCATCACCTTCTCGTCCCACGGTATCGCCTTCGCCTTTAGCTCCGAGAGATTGATTCGCAAGGCTCGCAGCAGCGCCTTCCGAGTCATGCTCCGACAGGATATCAACTTCTTTGATCGTGAGGAAAATAGCACCGGCGCTTTGACTTCTTTCCTCTCAACTGAAACCAAGCACTTGGCCGGTATCAGTGGTCAAACTCTTGGAACAATTCTCATGACTTCGACAACTCTCATCGCTTCAATTGTTATCGCACTTTCCTTCGGATGGAAGCTTGCCCTCGTTTGCATGTCTGTCATTCCGATTCTTCTCGGCTGCGGCTTCTACCGCTTCTATATGCTTGCCGCATTCCAGGCACGTTCCAAGGTAGCCTATGAGGGATCAGCCAGCTACGCCTGCGAGGCTACATCTGCCATTCGCACTGTGGCTTCGCTTACCCGTGAGACCGATGTCTGGGCATTCTACCACGCTCAACTCGATAACCAGGGCCGCAAAAGCTTAATCTCGGTATTCAAGTCATCGCTCTTGTACGCAGCCTCTCAGGCCTTGGTCTTCTTTTGTGTCGCCCTCGGCTTTTGGTACGGTGGAACCCTGCTCGGTCACCATGAATACGACGTGTTCCGGTTCTTCGTCTGCTTCAGTGAAATCTTGTTCGGTGCCCAGTCCGCCGGTACAGTGTTCTCCTTCTCCCCGGACATGGGTAAGGCCAAGAACGCCGCCGCTGAGTTCCTCAAGCTGTTCGAGCGTCGGCCCACCATTGACACATGGTCAGAAGAGGGCGAGAATTTGGACCATTGCGAGGGAACCATCGAGTTCAAGGACGTTCACTTCCGCTACCCTACTCGTCCCGAGCAGCCCGTGCTTCGCGGTTTGAACCTCACTGTCAAGCCTGGGCAGTACATTGCCCTGGTCGGACCCAGTGGATGCGGCAAGAGTACCACCATTGCTCTTCTCGAGCGATTCTACGATGCCCTTTCTGGCGGTGTCTACGTGGACGATAAGAATATCGCCGACCTCAATGTCAATTCTTACCGCAGCCACCTGGCGCTGGTCAGCCAGGAGCCCACTCTCTACCAGGGTAGCATCAAGGAGAACATCCTGCTCGG